TGTTAAAACTAAAGGCAATTTGTCATAATTCATTTAGCTAGCACAGTTTTCAAATAAAGGTCGACGCGAGTACTTTTGCACCAATATAATATTATATTATTTATTTGGTGAGTTCAATCATTTTAGTGTATAGCATTATGATCATCCATATAATCTATTTAAATTGAATAAGATAATTTTAAAATTTAATTAATTATAATTAAATAAACTCGCATACTTCATAACCACGAAAGTTGTTAATAATAAATAATTTCCAGAAATAAAATCCAACTTTCATCATGGCAATCCGGGATATTAAATTCAATACCTAGTAATTTAGAATGATAAATCAATTTTATAATATTTTAAATATTTTGAATTACCTTAAATTTTTGTTTAATGCCTGTTATATTTAGTGCTCAAATAAATATTTAATAATTTATATGTCAGATGTGGTTCAATATAAATAAAATTTGATATATATATAATAAATAGCAGGTACAATATTCCTGCGAACAAATAAAATAAAATCATGACCCTGATGATAAATTCACGTTCGCCCCCTAAAAACACCATAAACGCCAACATTGATATTATCGATCCAATAGTAACCCAGAATATACCCAAAAATTTGCACCAATAATCCTGGTTATATTTGTATATCTCGTAATATATTTTGTTTAGCTCAATTACGCTACGTTTAATTAATAGATTTAATATTGAGACGTTATTTATTACATTTGATTTAAGTAATATAATTTTTATATTGCTGTTAATTAATTTAAGTTTAATCTCCAGATAATAAGTAATAATAAAATAATATATTGACTGGTAATTGAGTATATTGAATATATAATGCACCCATACAGCCCATACCAGTGCGTTAGGTATGCCAATTATCAGCCACTGAGTCAGGGTAACTTTTGACATGCAACTAGTTTGAAACAATGCGATTGTCAGTATGCCAATTATATTTGAACTCCAATTAGCTAGCTTAAATGAATTATGACAAATTGCCTTTAGTTTTAACACGACATCCATGTCATTAATACCCAGATGACGAGGGGTAACATACCCGGCTAACATTTGAAATATACCCAAATCATGTGGTTTTATACCATTCTTATAGTTGTTGTAATTTATGAGTTGGAAACTCATAGCCTGTATACCAGCTATTATACAGACACAGTTAGCAATGGTACCGGTACCCATGAAGTATTCAAGATCACCCCAAAATAATCGGTAAACGGCCGGTACGTCCAGATCTCGGTATATGAATAGCAATATATTTCTGACAATGTGTTGACACAAACACATGAATATGAGAATCGGGTTATGAAACAGATTTTGACGACAATTTGATTTTGGTTTATATGGCGATAACCCAATCAGATAGAGGTGGGTGTCTGAGCCAGGTACTCGCATGTCAACAGGGATTAATAGATCAGGATCAAATTTATTTGCCATAGTTAGACAGTAATTGAAACAATGTTTACTATTTTCTGACTAATTTTAGATAATGAACAATAATTTTGTTTAATTTAATTAATGATTGTTTTACTTATATCATTATTCATAATTATATAAATATATTAATTTTTATGTTGGAATATTTTTTGGTAATTAAGTTATTAATTAACTGTAATATGTCACTAACAATATTCCGGGCAAATTAATTAATTTATTAATGTAATGTAATTTCAATAATATTATCTAATAAAAACATAATGAATAAACTATATTAAATACAAAGTACATGTTAAGTTGATACAATAATGTACATATGTACCTAATTAAATAAATTAACGGAATATTCCAACAAAAATTCTATATTCCGTTAATTTATTTAATTAGGTACATATGACACTGTATAAACTTAACTGGAATTTTGTTGGAAAACAAATTAATATATCATATTTCAACTTATCCAGGCACTCGCATTTCAACAGGGATTAATAAATCTGGAGAAAATTTATTTGTCATTGTTAGACATTAATTGAAACAATTTTCATTATTTTCTGACTAATTCTTAGATAATACAAAATAATATTGTTTAATTGAAATATTTATTATTATGCTAATATATTTAATCATTAATTTTATGCATTATTGTTATTGATAATTAATGTTAATGTAATACAGTATGTCGTTTACACTTATAAGTATATACAGTATATAAGTTAATTAGTATATTTTTGGCATAATATTTAATTTATTGAATATATTTCATTCATAATATACATTATATTTTATAAATTGAATGTTAATACAATTTAAGATTATATTATATGCTATGTACTTAGGGTGACCAGACCGTCCTCCGTGGGGAGAATTGCTCCCATTCCCATTGGGATGCGATTCCCGTGCGTTATATAGCACTCTCATTGCCTTTGAATAGTGTTCGCATTATATAGTCATAGTCTGTTGCTAACATAGCACTGCACTGAATGTATGTGTTATAGCATGTAGTACAGGCTAGTCTGTCCAATTGAGGCTAAGCCATACTCCCGTTCCCTCCCGACAAATTTTTATGACTCCCGTTCCCTCCCAACACCCGTCCTAAAGCTGATCAGGACTCCCGACAACTCCCGACGGGACCCGCCTACTCCCGAATAATCCCGAAAGGTAACAAAATGCTAAAATAAAATCTATTTTTTGTTTTTAAAACTCATTTTCAGTACTTTGGTTTGAATGTACGGCTTAACCTAATATTTAAATTATACTGTTTATTTATAAGTTAATAGATTTGAAAATTTTATCTATAAGATATGAGCAAAACTTACATAAAAAAGTGAATCGGGAGTGGTCGAGAGTATTCACTCCCGGTCACATATATCGGGACTCCGGATCCCTCCCGATCCTGATTTTAACACTCCCGTTCCCTCCCGACTCCCTTCGGAAGGCGGGACTCCCGAAAATTCCCGAGTTTTCGGGACCCGATTGGACAGACTAGTACAGGCTATGTACTCGGTAAGTGCGGGAGTGGAGGGAGTGGTGCGGGTCTCGCGGGAGTGAATCGGGAGTCCAACCAAACCTTATGTGCCGGAGTGGGAGTCCCGCAATGGATTTTCTGAGGTAGTTTGCGGGAGTGTTGTGAAGCCAATGCAACATTTCAATGATTACTCGGAATCCCTAGTTTGCATAGTCCCCGACCCTACCATCACGGGTGCCTCTCCCAAGACGGTCGGGTGTCGGTGCGTAGCGCCTGGTCTGCTGTAGCTTACTTCCGACCAACTGCCGACTCTTACCTATAGAGAAGTTTAGACTCACATAGCGTGATAAGGCCTTTTTCTATGGAAAAGCCTAACAATATTTTATATTTTAAATAATTTAATAGATAAATTTAATTTTTAAATTCAAGTGTTATTATATCGGGTGTCCCATCGTATCAGTACGACTTTTAAATTAAATTAAAAATATTTACAATTATATACCATTATAACCAGTTAACAAAACGAGTAAGGACAACGATAAACTAAAGGATATGAAAATGGACAAGGTACAGTATTATAAACAAAATTTATATTGATAAATATTAATTACACTATTTATATAACATTACATTTGTTTTCTAATATTAAATTAAATTTTATTTTAATGATCTCAACATAATATTGAATGTACAATATAAAACCAATTTATCTACTTAATCAATAATATAATTAATTAGTTATGACCAGGCAATTAATTATTAACAAATATAGTCAAATGAGTGCATAGTGTAACATAGGGTGTTATTTCCCTATGTGTTAACAAAACAGTAGTAAATGTTACTTGTCACTTTTAAATGTAATTGTCACTTTTGACACTCAATGCCTGTGTATATCAATAATAATTATTTATTAATTTCTTGTGTGGTATTAGATCTGCAACCGGGGTATGAAGTTGTATGAACCGGATGTGTGGACCCGTAGGGCAACCCTCGCCCTCGGGTGCTTCTGGGGCGTAGAGGCACAGTTCGGATGCTCGCGGGAGGTATGTGTCCACCCATGCAAACAATTAATACCCTGTTTATATATATTATAATATATAACATGTATCTGTTTGCCAAGTGATCCGGACACGAGTGGGCTATACGGGTGGCACGACACAGGACCCCACTTATAGGAATTTAGGCGATCACACGGAGGTCATTGACATCGAATACCACCCCAATAGCACCACTTACGAGGTATGAAATTGGCTCACATTTAACCGGGCTACACCGAAATGACCTAACACAGAAAAGACATAAACTTGAATAACTAATTGACCAATGGTTATTCGACTTAATTTAGGTTATAATAGGCTTTGTTAGGTTTAGACACGTCTATTACACTCATAGAATTAAAAATATGTCCACTGGTCAGTTAGTTATTTTAGTTTAGGCCTTTTCGGTATTAGGCCTTTTGGTGTATAACCCATTTGGCCATCAATTTGGTCTCACATTTGATGCATCTTTATTGGGTGCAGAGAATTCTGACCATGTTTTGGGAGGTCAACGACTCGGCAACCAAATGCCGCAAACGGCAGTACATGTCCGCCATTTTCTACCACAACCCCATTCAGAAGCGATTGGCCGAGAAGTGGATGGCAAAGGCGCAGAGAAAGTACGCGACGCCCATACAGACCCCGATATTACCGTTGGATGTGTTTCACGAGGCGGAGGACTATCACCAGAAGTTTACGCTCAGAAGACACCCGAAACTGGTCCAGAGTCTGGGTCTGAGTGACAAACAGTTGATTGGTTCGCATATCGCCGCCCGACTTAACGGCTATTTGGTACACTTCGGCACATTGGAGGCCTTCCGCAAAGAGGTGGACAATTGGGGCATACTTCCCACCAGAAGGACTATGTGTTGAAACACATGAAGTCGTCGGATACCGGTTCCTGTATGGCCTCCCGTGCTATGAATCCCTATAGAGATGTAATGATAAATAAGTGGTTCTATGGATAACTCAATGATAATATGATTATCATTAATGAAAATATTGTTGTATTTGATATTGAATTGATGTTAAATTTGCAATAAAATTGATCACTGATTTTTTTAGTTTAATGAATTTTATTTAATTTTAAACTTAGAATGATCAGGATATTGAATTTTATTTAATCTAGATATTTTAAATGAGGTAATAATTTAAAAATTTTTAGAATTTAAATAAATTGTAAAAGTTATTAATTTTTGTAATTGTGTTTGGTAACTAACACTATTTTGGTATCATTAATAAACATAGCTTATTGTTTTGACAGATAATATTTATAATTATTATAATAAGATACTTTATAAATACTATTGATTAAATATAATTTCAGAAAAATATTATGTTAAAAAATTAAACTGATAATTTAGATAATTATACAAAAATTTAACTTTATTTTCTTAATGAACATCATTTTGTAATATAAATATAGTTTTTCTAACAATTACTTAATACGACAATTATATGAGAAATATTAAACATTTATCAATGTTAAAATGTTAAAATGTTCAAGGATTTAATAAATAAAAAACAATGTGTAATACTGTATCAATTAATTTAAAAAGAAACCTGTAAACAAAATGATATTATATAAAATACTCTCAAGTTAAACAATATAATTACACTGGGTGCATGAGAATCCTGTAAAAATTTATAAATACATTATTATAATAGTGATACTATAGTGTGAATGCTATTAAATCATGTAGTTCATAAATGTGTTAAAGTTCGTAAAAAATAAATAAATTTTATATTGATTAACTTAATAAACAGCAGGTGTTTTATTTTAACAAATTATTATACATTAAATTTTTCGTATAAAACAAAATGAATTTTATTATATTTACTTATAATTACTTATAAAACTTAATTGAGTAAAAGTAAACTTAACTTAACTTTATTTGTAATACTGTTTGAAACCAATACTTGTAAGTAAATAAAAAATTTATTATAAATACTAATACTTAACTATACATTTATATCATATTAATAATACATGTATGCCTAGGCTTATAATAATTTTATATTGGTGATAACTAGTAAATATATTTACCATTTTAATCATACTAGTTCATTGTATAACACTTTTAGACTGACATACTGATACTGTAATTGTCACCGATAATACTATTGATAAGATTATAATAAAATTTAATTAACATTAATCAATTTAATAATTTATCACACATTATAATTATTTAATTTTATGTTTAACCTATTAAAAATATATTTACAATCCTGTCTATGAGAATTATATTTCTGCTAGTAATTATTTAATAGCCATTATGATATTTTTAATTTAAATTAAATAACCAGCATAGAATAGCTAGTAAAATAATCTACCCACTTAAATTAGCAACCAGTTGGTATTTTTCAAATGTGTATAAACCTGATTATATTAGGCTTATATTTGATATATAAATATTTACCATGACATTTAAGCCCACTTCATTATTTTTAAAGTTATACATTTCTAAGAAATCTTAAATTAATTAAGTTTTACACCACCATATTAACAATAATTTAAGTGGCTAGATTAATTAGTTTATCTAAATTATAATAAAATGATTGGTGGTTCTGTAATTAGATAAATACGAGTTATACTGGTACATATAAGTTAAAGCAAACTTTTACTATAAATAACTGATTTTACAGGTTCAAATTTAATTTACTACAAGTCAAAGCAATATACCAACAGTATGAGCTTGGCCGTATTTGTTATTTTGTGTCTAGTCAACTTTGGTAAGTACCGTAAAAATATGTTTTGAAAAATTATTTTTCATTATAAATCTATAGA